GATTTATTATTTATTATTGACTGCAAATGGGTTTATACCCGGTGGCAGTGTCCTACAATAACATACAAAACAATGAGACAGAACAGAACAATGAGATACATCAACACAATGAGACAGAACAAAACAATAAACAAAAGGACACAACAAAACAATATGACACCCAAACAATGGGATATATCAACACAATGAGACACAACAAAACAATAAACAAAGGACACAACAAAAACAATAAGACACAATAAACAATGAGATACATCAACACAGAGACAGAACAAAACAATAAACAAAAGGACACAACAAAAACAATATGACACCCAAACAATGGGATACATCAACACAATGAGACACAACAAAACAATAAACAAAGGACACAACAAAAACAATAAGACACAATAAACAATGAGATACATCAACACAGAGACAGAACAAAACAATAAACAAAAGGACACAACAAAAACAATATGACACAAACAATGGGATACATCAACACAATGAGACACAACAAAACAATAAACAAAGGACAGAACAAAAACCATAAGACACAACATACAATGAGATACATCAACACAGAGACAGAACAAAACAATAAACAAAAGGACACAACAAAAACAACACATCCCACTCAACATCAACCAACTCATAAATTACAAAACCATCCAACCTCAAGTACTTAACTTAAAAAAAAGAACTTAATACCACCTAGACATAAGACAATAACTGTAATGTATTACAAACGTCATGAACTGATGCACTCACACAACAATACAATGAGACACAACAATACAACATACCACACTCAAAATAAAACATCTGACACACAATAAAAAAACAACACACAATAAAAAAACTAAAAAAAACACACACAATAAAAAAAATTGTTACCCAGAAAGACTCCAAATGGTTCTTTTTTCCTTCAAATAACATTTTGCACTGACTGTTTGACCTAAGCTCCATCATTTGCTCTGCGAAACCATTAACACCATCGGGGATTTCAGTCAAGTCAGAAACGAGTTTACAATCCCCTGATATACAGAATTTTCTAGTTCAGGAAAGTATTCCTTGAGACGCAAAGACAGTTTTGTTAAGTGGGTGATCGCTGTAAAAATGATTGAATCTAATAACAAGCGCGTGGCGTATTTATTAAGTAGCAAATAAATACTTGTTAGACTGTTTTAGAGCATCGCTTTCTTTAGAGTACTTCTACACTTTTATGGGTAAATTTTAATGTGAATCCCGAGGTGTGTCGTTACCCAAAGAAAAATCATTTCTATCCCTTTTTGGGTAATTTATCCAGGTTTGGGAAGCAATGATCTAAGTGGACATATATTCGCATACAACGAGAGAGTTGTAAGTAACATGAATGAACATTGATGTCAGTGAAGCTCTCGTGCGAGATGTAAGGTTCTCAAGGCGTTGAGTTTTTTTATCTGTCGTCATGTAGACTTGTAGGTAAGTTCTGGTATTTCGAGATGCGTATTTTCTCCGTCTTCAGGACTGTTAATAAGTGGTGTAAGAAATGAATACAGAATTTTGATCGGAATATATAATTTTTGGAAAAAAAAAACAACACTTCAAGGCATCACATGTTCCGAAAGTGCTTTTTAAACGGCAACTTTGATTAGTGATTGCGGTCCACAGACTACGGGAAAAGCTCCACGGCTTCCAAAAGGTGTGACTGCAGTACGTAGCCAATGTAATGACGTCAGAAATACAGTTCTGCACGCATTATTTGCAACATTCGCAGTTCGAGGTCCTGAACCAACATGGGGGACCATATGCGCCCGGTCTTATAAAGCAGCCGCTGATGTGCGCATGTGCTTACTTTGAACGAGTATCATCAACGCGGACTGTTTTCCACCCTACAGCACGGATTATCAACTCGTGGACCGCGTGTGAGTTTGGTGCTGCTCGATTACGCTCTTATATAATATCGAATCATTCTGTTCTATAAAACATAGTTACAGCCTGCGTCAGATGTCCGTATGAAGAGAATAGAAATTAAATTAGGAATCAACCATTCAATAGATTGTCATTTATAAAATGGCT